TGGGGGGGGGGGGGGGGCGGGGAGGACGGGACACACCGGGAGATTCCACCTCTACACATTAACCCCCAACTCGACTCTACGATACAGCTACATGCCAAGCTAAAAGGTGAAAGGTCATAGTACCAGGTCAAAGGTTGCCTCGAGGGGTCGCTTCAGTGATTTGACAGCCGACTGAGTCTTAATTAGCAGGCAGCGAGCACATGATGGCAATGGCCAGTGGGGTCAAGCGCATTAACATAAACAGCAAGCAGAGGTGCGTCATGGGGGCAGCAGTGCATTGGGGAGGTGAGAAAAAACAAATAAAAACAAATCACTGGCTGCTGTGTACAACGGTAACAAGCCTAGGCATGCAGGGGGGCCGGCGGGGCCCGGCCGCCAGCCCCTCGCGGAGCCCCCGCCGGCACCGCTGCTCCTGGGCACCCCAGCCCAGCCCTGCTCCTCTCCCGCACCCCGGGCGCAGCGCAGAGGGGACACTGTGCCACCGCCGGGCCCGAGCAGCTCCAGATCTGGCTGCTACAGCCACGAGGTTGGGTCTGGGGCCCTCCAAGAGCTGCCAGCAGCCCTCGGGGGGGCCCGGAGAGGGGGCTACGGGTGACAGGAACACACCCAGATTGACCTCGAACTAAGTCTCTACGAACACAGACTTACAGTAACTGAAATACAGGTCTATCTATCTGGGCAGCTAGATAGATACACATCTACCCACACACAAACACACAATAAACTGTAGGTATATGCACACACACGTATGCACACATATATGCACAGAGACACTCCGAACATCAGCAGGCAAAATTAGTGGGACACCTGAACGGTCTGTAACTACTTGAGAGCAGATCTGGCACCACATGCTGATGAGCTCATTGCACCACGACTGGGGTCCCCGAGAACACGCACACCCCCCTCCAGCCAGAACACCCAACACGCCCGTGACCATCTCCTCAACAGACTTCTATTCCAGAGGGGTTTCCAAACTCACCATGGCAGCTGCAGTCCCTGCTGCCTGGGCAGCTGCAGCTTGGTTAACCTGGTACTGGGCAGCCTTGATCTTGGCTTGCAGGTGCGCAGGAGGGTGAAAATATTTGCACTTTTCCCGTGAGCATCTCCCTTTGATGTAATCCATGCAGACGGTGACGGTGTTGTCGTTGGTGTCGATCATGGCGCTGTCGGCAGGGTGGGCAAACCGGCAGTCGTTCTCCCCCCTGTTGCAGTTGCCACGCTGGTACTCTCGACATACCTGTGACACCAGGAAAAGAAAGGCCTTCAGTTTGGGTGATGTGTGTTGTGGGCACAGCTCGGAGCAGAGTCGGGATTTCTGGAAGTCCAGGAGAGCATCGTGAGGATGGGAGCTGGGCCCCAGGGGTGGTGGTGGGACAGAACGCTCAGCTCCCCGGCAGCAGGGACCTGGCTTCTCTACAGCCACTTCTGATGTCCAAAAGCATCAAAGCCCAGCAGGATGAGGAGCCAAGCACACCGCAGGTTTTGGTTTGGCTCCTGCCTTGCCAGCCCAGGGCTGTGTTGCTGGAGCAGGGGGCTGCAGCCAGCTCTCTGAGCACCACGAGCGCCGCGGTGCTCAGACACCGTCGTGCCCCACTGTGACCTGCCTGTGTCCCAGCCGCCACCGCCACAGGCAATAATGAGGGCGATCAGCCAGAGGTGCTGGAGGGTGACTGATGGCCGTTCCCATGCAGTCCCACTGGCCAGGCACTTGGTGCTGGACTCAGCTGGACTCACAGCTGTGTGGTGCCACACCAGCCCCACCATCCAGGCACCTGCCACAAGAGGACAATCCAAGCCCTGTGGGGCTGCCTCTCCCGACCGCCCGGCCGGCCCTGTGGAGCAGCAGGAGGTGGGTCCCTCAGGGCACAGCAGAGGCTGCCGCCGGGGCAGGCCCAAACCCGTGGGGCTGGGGCTTCCCCTGCAGCCTTCCTGTGGCTGGGGCCAGGGCTGCAGTCCAGCCAGACCAGCACTGACCCCTCCTGGCCTCTCACCACGCCAGCCTTGCTGACACTGACTTATCAGCAGAGCTACAAGCATCACCTCCCTCCCCACACACCTTGCAAACCCTGAGTTTAAAAAACCATTGTGTGTTCTTTTCATGGTCAGCTCTTCTCAAACCACAAATGCTTTTGTCATTTAGTTTTCCAAGGGCTATAGGACACAGAAAGGGACAAAAGCAACCAAGTTTCTGTAAAAAAACCCAACACTTTAGTAGAAGGCATTTCCCTTTGAAGATGGTTGCCATGAGTTTGGATCATCAGTATTTTCTCAAGGATCTTGGCTTTGATCCCTACAACAAACCAAATTTGGCTGTTACTGGGTTTCCATCCATGCCAGTGCACTAGCTGCTTTTTAACCAGCTGCCCATTATCTAAGACCTATGAAATGACATCCTTGAAGGACAGGAGCACTGCCATTTGTGAACCCGCTCACAGGAAACATCCATTTGTCCAGAGTCGTTCCAGCATGACCCTATTTATAGTGTTTTTCCATGCAGTGACAAAGACTCTGGATGCATATTTGCAGCAGAGCCAAGTGAGCCAGTTCAGACACCTCCACTGCTCTTGTCCATCCCTGTGGTCCTACTGCTCGTGGCTTGGTTCTTGCACCACTGCTTCTGCAGATGAAATGGACTGGGAAAATTCCTCAGCTGGAAAAGAACCACTTGCCTTCCAGGCAATTCTGCAGCCAGATCCCTTCCCTTCCCTGGTCCCTACACAGTGACATGGACCACTTCAGCAGCCAGTACGACAGGTTGGAGAAGGAGGTGACACTGGTTTAAGTAATCACACGAGTCACCTTTGGTGTCTGCTGTGTGCTGGCAGCACCCCTGCTCCCACTGCCTCTCTGCCCCCTGCTCTCACACACACCCCACTTGGAGCTGGGCTGGGCAGCCCCAGCATGCTCCCTGCCATCAGCTGGGGATCCCTGGGCCATCAACCAGTGTCTTTGATCCAGGCCTCACCAACAGACAAAAATACAGCATTTCCTTTGATTATTTGTTTGCAGTCTAGAAGTAAATGGAAGTCTTTTCCTCTGAAGATAAAGTATGCAACTAATGTCAGTGGACTGTCTCTGCTCTTTGTCTTCTATTGCTGATCCACAAAACCAAGCTCTCAAAACCATGCCACTTGTAAGCAAGAACTACTCCATGAATAACATAAAGATGATACATAAAAATCCATAAATAAGCATATACATATATATAAAAGTATCTATACACATGCAAAGAAGATGCATCCATGGATAAGCTAATTTTATCACAGTTAAAAAACAAGTAAGAATGACCAGACAACTGCAATAGTTAGGTAGATAGAGATAATCTCTGGCATGTCCAGAGCAAACTTTCACAGAGCTATCATGCTGTAGCTGAGATAAGGCAATGAATGGTGCTCTCAGTGCTCCTCACCAGATCTCTGAAGGATGGTTTACAGCAGCCAGACACAAACCATAACACTGCCAGGCCTTCTAATCAGTGTGACCAGCAATGACAGCTTTCCAGTCCCTGTGATGGTAGCCAAGAATGTTTCCAATTCTTGTTTACTTAAAAGCAAGCATTGAAAATGGTGTTATTTTTTGCCACAGGCATGCAGAAATGTATCATTCATCTGCTTGAGTAAAGAGGGGCATGGAAGCGTGACATGTTGTCTGGTCTTTCAGATCTGGAGAGCTTCTATTTAGTTATTTATTAATAGCTCTGGAATTAGTCTCAAATTTTCAACTTAGTATGTCAAGAAACATAAACAAAAGAGACCTGCACACCTCTAGCTCGTCTGCAAAAATGCTGAGTTAGTGCTGCAGTGGTACTGACTCCCTGTCATCCGCTTCACTTGCTCTAACTTCAGGCTGAGTTTATTTTAGTCTCCCTGCTGGGCTCAGGTTGCCCACCCTGGTGGGGGGACAACTGCTGCTGCCCCAAAGGGAGCAGAGTTTTGGCTGCAGGGACACAGACTGTGACACCAAGCATCCTGTCCCTCCAGCAGCAAGGCACACCACGTGCCTGCCCCCTTCTCTGCACTGAACCAGGTTTGTCAAATGCTGCCCAGCACATTCTGAACTTTTCAGCCAACAGCAGCACTAACAGATTTCCTGATTATCCATGACCTGAACCTCCAAGAAGTTCTAAGCTGCTTCCTTCTGGAAAAAAAAAAAAAAAAGGCATATACGAAACAAGCAGGAAACAGCAGCCTGACTGTGGTCATTCTTGATTCTTAAACACTTCTAATTGAGAACGAGGGCGTTCAAACGGAAACACGTACGTCTTAAATAAAGCAGGCAATTCCTTTTGCTCTCACTTCTAGCTCACTAGAAGAGCCACACTTTCATTTAAGCTATTTCTGGCAGGAGAGAAGTGTGAGGAAAGGTGTAGGAAAAGCCCCAACTCATGACATTTCCACCCTGAGATCCAGATTCTTTACAGAAATGCCTGAACGCACTGGACCCCCAAACACCTGCACGCCCCCTGTACCCACGACACAGTCAAAAAATGTATGAAATCACACCTACTGCTAGTGACAGTCACCAGCCTTATCTTCTGAATATTCATTTTAATTCAGGAGACCAGGCACACTGCCTGACAGATCTGCATTGTCTGCCTGCTTCCCTTAAAATCCCAGGTACAGGAGCTTTTAGCCATGGACCTGATTCAGTGCCCCAGAACACGTGTGCTAACTTAACACTCAAGCACATCATTCCTGAATGTAAGTATTTCAAATTCTAAGTAGAACAAATCATGTTCCAAGATTAGATGCTAACATCAGAGCAGTTGTTTTTCTAAGGGACAGTTCATTCCAAGGCAGAGCAAGCTAAGCCATATAAAGCTCTCTAATCATGTCCTAACAAATGACAAGACCAACAGCAACACGCTCACTGAAGGAGCAGGTAGATGCGTGTTGGCTTCTCTGAGAGGTAACAACCAGACCATGCAAAATCCTTCACATCAGTTCTGCATCTCTGCAACCTATGAAGTACATTAAAGTGTTTGGATGTTCATAAAAATGATGTGCTTATTTGGTGTTTGTATACTGCATTTGTATGGTGTTTGTATACTCCATATTAAATGATGGCAAATTACCTTCTCACCCACATATTTCACTATTCAAACTGCACTTGCTGAAAGGAAAAAAGGAAGGGGAAGAGCCACCTCCCCACTGCCAGATACTAATTTTGGAAGACAGCAGCACAGTGTGCAATTGCAGAGTCGGTGGGTCAACCTGCACGTGCTCTTGATCCCAGCCAAAATAAAGAGCAAAACTCAAACGGCTTAAAGGGTGGGAGAAGCCAGATTTCTTTCAAGTGATCCACAGGGTGCAGTGGCCAGAGCAGTTTGCTCCTGGAGGAATCCCCACACAGGGCCATTGCACCAGGGCAGAGACAAAAGAGGCACCTCTAATTCTCAGCACTTATTTTCAGGGGGTCCTGACTTGGCCATCATCCTCCTCTACATTCAAGCATCAAGCGAAACAACTCAAGCTTTTAAATTTCTTCTACTGATTTCATACTTTTCTGCTGGCTTTTCCTACTGGTTAAAAATGGTTCTTGCTGCAGACTGTGCCCCTGGGTGTGTGGTGAGAGGAACACTCTCACAGCTCCCTCTCATGTAGTTTGGCTCAGCAGCATATCTCTTCTCTGAACAGCTATGCAAGGAGAACACTGCAGGACCAGATCCTGCACGCTGAAGTCCCAGGTTTCACTCTCTCCTCGTGCACTTTGGTCACAACCTGCTGGCCAGCACAACCTCTGCCCTGGAGGCACCACGTGAAGAGCTGTCCCTGCACAGCCCCTCTGGGGCTCCTACCAGTGAACATGAGCTGGCGCTCAGTGACTTTGGGTACATCCTGTCCTGCTTACAAACATGTCCCCAGCACCACTGACCAGCCCCATGGCCTCTGCACGGCTGGAAGCACAATCCAGCACAGCAGCCGACCTCAGTACTGCCCCCCAAAGGGCTCCCTGCCATCAGCATCCTCCCCTTGGCGCTGAACTTGAAATCTGGTGTGATTTATTTATGAATTTATCTAATTGCATTTTGGTTTTACTCCACCTCTGGCAGGTATCCACCACGAAGCAGAGTCCTCAAAGGACACTGGTGATTCCAAAGAGCCACCCGTGAACCAGCTCCCAGCTCAGTGTAGCCGCCTCTCCTGTAACCTGAGTGTGCTCTGGGGAACGCTCTTCTTGGAGAAAACATCTCTAAAAAGGGAAGTGATGCGATCCCGCGGGAAGGGAACCTGTGGTGACGTGAGCTCTGAGAATAGTGACAGAGGCAGAGGGAAGCACTTGCTGCCAGATGACCCTCTGCACCTCCCCCCCCCAGCTCACAGCCTTCTGAGCAGCAGCTTGTCACTCAGAGATGCAGCTAAGATAAAGGAATTAATTTTCCTTGTAAGGAGCATTAATGCCTGTTAATGCAGATGCATCTTTCCGGGCAGAAAGGAAAGCATTACAATTACAACCGGCTGCATTTTAAACCAGAGGGGTCCTTCTCGCTCCTCCCATTGCACTCCTGAGGCCAGGGAGCTCACCCAAGAGCAGAGCAGCCCCTGGGCTGTCCCCAGGCAGCAGTGCTGCAGTGTCACTGCACCCAGCAGAGCAGCGCGTCCCTGGCGCGCCGCCCGCGCCGATAAGGTGCCGAAAACACTGTCAGGCCTTGCAGATAAGGAAGATCCAGGGCCAGGCAGAGCATCAGGCAGAGAGCACCAACACTTGTCAGGGTTGTAGCAAGGCTGATAAGCCAGGCACAGGAGGCCGATGGGGGAGTGTCGGCACCATCTGTCCAGGGCAAAAGTAGGAGAGGCTGAGCCACCCAGGCAGCTGAGGGTCTGCACTTACACCCACCCCATGCTTGGTCCCCATGCCCACACACCCCCCATGTTAACACCTTCTGGGCACACACTAAGACAGCTTTGAGGCACTCTTAGGAATGACCTTGGCGGCAGCAGAAGGGCTCAGTATTTCCATTTCTTTCTGCAACAGAGGGTCAGAAGCAGACCCACAAGCATTAACTTGCTGTATGATCACTTGGTCACTCCCTGTCCTTACCTGTCACCAAGATATGTCATTATCACCTAAAGTGAAGCCTGCATTGTTTATTTTCACAAAAACCTATTTTATACCCAGGAGACATCATAAATGATATAACTTGTGAGAGTAAGTTACATATGTACTGGCTCCTACCTCCAGCCTGTCCGTCCTCATGAGCTTTTGGGCAGCAGCAGCAGCAGCGGCAGGAACCGGGACACCGGGGTTCCCTGTCACCAACATTGGGGCCGTAGGCAGGATCTCTGCTGGGACCAGGCCTGGGGAGACAGGCCCCAGGTAGGGGTTGAAGGCAGCTGATGCGTTGGTGGCCAAGCTCGGTGCAACGGAAAACATCGGCTGCAACCAGAGAAAAGAAGAGGACACACACTTTAGATATTTCCACTCGCCCTGCCATCAGCACAGCAGCCTTCTGGCCATCATCTGGAGCTCAGGGGCAGTGGGTTGCTGTTCCCAGTGGAAAGAAGCATTTGCTGTGTTTGTGGGACGTGAAGAACACCTGTGCAAATGTTGCACATGAGTGAGACCACAAGGACAGGCAGCCCCACCAGCCTCCAGCAGCTCTGCCAGGGCTCCCCTTGCAGGCACACAGCACGTGGCAGCTCCCAGAGCAAACTCTGGTTGGATGTGCACTGGGGCAAGGCCACAACAAACAGGCATGGCCGTGGGGAGAGGCTGGGGCTCTCAGAGGGACATGGCCAAAATGTGCACAAACACCCACCCTCAGGGAAAAAGGCATCTGCGTGAGAGCCCTAACACACCAGCAAACCACACTCAGCTTCAGGCACAAGTGAACACATTTCTGATGCTGGGGACAGACAGCACTGGTTCAGAAATTAGAGGAACAAGGCCAGACAGATATAATTTATTTTTACAACATTAAACAGGCTGTCCATGCAGATATTAAGAAGAAACACCCTGCATTGAGGATGTGATTTATTTAGACTACAACATTGAGGCAGAGAAAGAGAGAGCACACACATACTGGGGGGTTCTGTCTGTTTGCTTGTTTTAAAAAAAAGGAAAGAGTCGGATGCTCTTGCAGGCTGTCGAGTGTTGAGAAGATAACTGGATGTAGAAGATCAAACAGTGCTGCAAGACCAAATGTGGAGCTGTTGCACTGCAGCAAAGATTAAATAACCCTTCTGCCCCACAGAATGCAAAGGCACCGCAGTGTAAATGCCAAAGAACATTTAGTCTGGGGTGTTTATATTCAGTATCTAAATAAAGCAGTTACTCAAGGCATTTAGATTTTTCTTCCAAACTGATTTTTAGAAGGAAAAACAACTACAGAATCAACACAACTCCTTTTCCCTGTTTCATATCTGTTTAAGCCAGACAGCATGTTTTGTATTCCTGAGGAAATGACTGCACTGTTTGGAAGCAAGGAACAAGCCCACTGGAAACACTGGTCAAAAACACATATGCAGAGATTACTGAAGAAAAAAGACTGAAAGTTGTGTAAATGGGAATATTTTCTTCAGCATCTCTGATTCTTCTCCCTCTCCCATGGAAATGAAATCAAAACCGGCAAATTTTGCAGGATACAAAATATTACTCTTAAATGCACTATAAGCTGCGCTCTTCATTACTATGTTATCAGCTGTGTAATAATAAACACTAGAAATATAACTACAAACTAGTTTATTAGTGTGGAACTTAAGAGATATCAATGTTTGATTTCAGTGCAATATACTCCCTGTACAGTATATAAAAGACTTTCTCATGTATTTTCTACTGAGATCATTCTATACTGATACAAATATCCTGCAGCCTTTAGAACATGGCAAAATAATAGCTCCTTGCTGCCAGATGCCCCATAAGCCCCACTGTCCCAGGAACCAGCCCGTGGGGCTGAGTTGCCTGCTGTGTCTGGCAGGGGCATTGCCTGCTG